GGGGGGCGGGGTTGCCCGCGGGGGTCCTGGGGGTCGGGCGGGCGTGGGGCTCCCCCGCGGGGCCCGGGGGTCGGCACCCTCCGCTGCGGGGGTCCGGGGCTCAAATCCCGACCCCGGCTTGGGCCTCGGGGTACCCCGCCTGACAACCCTGGTTTAGATTACGAGGTATGGAGGGACTGAGTTGCCAGGGGCACGTGTATGAATTGTGGCAACTATGGCCACACTTCAAAAACTTGTCGAGGCAAGAAGGTCACCACAACAGTAGCCGCTCCAACAGTAGTGGGCTTATGTTCGAACCCTTATAGTGCTTCTGCGAGCACTTCACAGGGAAACTCCTCGAGCCAGTAGGAATGTTAGCCGCTCTTACTCGCGCTAAAGTGGTAACGTTGCCTTCCCCACTTCAGGCGTTGGCCAAGGCTAGTGACCCATACATCGCCCCGCAGACACATTCAGACCTACCGACGCTCTGTTCGAGAGATGTGTCTGAATCCCTAGAGGAGTTACAGTTTGAGTGGTCAAGGAAGGACCTCTACCACGAAATGCTCACCCTGAGGACCGACTTATCCGTCCCAACGATAAACAGTTGCTTAGATAAAAAGTCTATCTCCTGTTTTACTGCATGCACATCCAGGTCACAGGGAGGTTCCTTGTACAGTCTCGACATGGAAAAATCGAGCTGCGACTTCAATTTCCTAGTAACAAAGGACAAGGCATTCAACTGCATGATGTACATTCTAGAAGAAAGGAAACCCACAATGGACTGCCATGCACTCAAAAACTCCTGTAGGGCTTCCCCCGAATTCCGAGGGTGGAGGCGGATATGGTTCAGGTCTTTCTCGAAAAGGCCGGCCAGCAGGGGAAGTGACGAGATCGTCGGATCCACAGACAACACATGTGAGGAAGGGGTTTCAAAGGGTTGGGGCATGTCCAGTGTGCAAGGGAACCGCTTAGTCATACATAAACAGGAGGACGATTTGCCACAAAAATCAGACCACTCCCGCAAATCAAAGTCCGCAAAGGCTCGAAAAGGCTTATATACAACTGTTTCCAAAGAAGCTACATACGACCATCCAATGACAATTCGGGATAGCAGTTCCATTGCTTCAGCGGGAAAAAAATGGTTGACACATTCATCAAGGATAGCCCAGAATTCGACGCTTTCCATGATGCGGCTGGTGTACTTGATGTGCACGAAGAAACACTTCTTTGCGTTCAATGGGCTCTTTACCCACTTATTCCGCCCCGCGGGATCACGAGTCATGACTCCCTCGAACTCCTATACAGATCATTGCACACGACAGTACGTTCAGCTCTTGAACAGAGAACCCTTTGCAAGCATCCTGCCCCGCGGGTTCTTTCCATTGGTCTTGCTGGATCCAGTCAAATTGCCCGCATGCTGGATGGTCACTGACGAATCCGGAGGGGTAGTAGTCCCTTCTACGACAACGGCGACCGCTCTTACAGGAGTGACAGTCATTTGCTGGGCAGGCGGGGCAATGTAGAACTCCAGAGTACTCTGTTGACTCATCCTTGCTTTCTTCACACTGGCAAATGACCCAACGCTCTCCTTCCTCTTCTTCCTTGTGGTGCGGATGTACCGAGAGGGGAGGATCAACTTGGCCATGGTTTTGGGGAATTTGTGCAGCATGAGAGCAAGGTTATCCAGAATGTTCTGGGGGTTTCTAGTGGGGTCATTGACCACACTGTAAGCCATGGAGACCATGATCTCCCTCATGTGGGTGAAGACAACTGAGGCAAGCACGGGAGCTCTCCAAGTTGTCTTTGCGAGGGCTCGGAACATCCTGATACGCGCTCTGAGGGAGGGAGCCTGAGGGAAAAGATAATGGAGATCAGACAAAAGGTACCAAAAGACATTGTCGAACCATGAGATATTCTTACCACAGTCACCTCTATCCAGGAGGATACATTGACATTTGAGGAAGGGACGACCAACATTCCAAAGCCGTTTCAATTCCACAATTGCCGTCTGGACCCTATGACCCATGAACCCTCTAACCTGTAACATGCAGGGGGAGACAGCGCATTTAGTAGCATCAAAGTCCCCAACTACAGGCAGCTTCATGTTGTCAGGAGTCAGGGGGTGATCTCCTCTGATCAGCTCCATACTTTTTGTGAGTGCCTTTTCATTGCACTTCTTCATTTCCTCCTCCGTGAGAGAGGCAAGGAATCGGTATGAGTCCTCATGGATGGGAGCGGCGTAGTTGAAGGTGAGAAGGTCCCACAATTTGTCGCCAACCTCCCTCGATTGGGCTTCCACCCATCTACTCGTGACTGCGGGGAGAAAGGCATTACGGGTGAACCTGTTAACTACGGCTTTCTGATTACTGGCGATCACCTTTGCCTTCTCATTCCTACCCTGGGCTAACAGCCTAGCGTGGAATTCCTTCTCCACTTCAGTCAACGCGAGAGACTCTTCCTCCTCCGACTCCGACTCCGACGCATCCACCAGAATCGCAGGATCCTCCTAATGAGATCATGAAAATTAGACTCCGCACCCCACAAATGAACAAACACCTTCTCCTTCAGCGCCAGATGCACAAGTCAACCAGTTCATCCTCATCACGATGTGGCGGGCTCGTGTGACCAGATATTTGGTAAGATCAAGGAAGGCTGGTTTGTCATTGGCAGCAGTCCACAAGAGACTGGCCCAATGGTCAAATGATGAGGGGGGGGAAGTTGGGGGGGATATCTACCGAGTGGAGTCTGATGAACTCCAGGATCTTCTTGGAGGCAATCGAGATCAATGCCTGATTGGGACGGGCGGGGGCAGGAAAAAAGTCCTGCCACGTGAGCCCGTCTGACAGCAAATCCAAGTACCAACCGTTGCTGGAGAATGAGGGGACCTGCCACATCGAATCCACACACAGGATTAGAACTGGGACCTCGCAGAAGGGGGGGAGATCAACGGAAGAACTCGTACGAAAACTAGGCGAAGGTGAGCGCACCAAACTGACCAGACTCTTCATTTCTGGCCGTCAATCTGCAGAATCAACGGTCACAAAAATAAGAATTCGGGTACTAAGTGGGACTTGGCCCTGGTCCGACCTCTTCCGCCTACTGGTAAGACAACCAGAGGAATCTCTCCAGGTCTGGAGTCCGGACATAACAAAAGGATTGACACGTTGAAGAGTGAGAGCTCTTTCTTCATTGAAGTTTACTCTATGGGTAGTCGTGGTGAATGGGTCTCTCATGGTGGAGCTGAGAGGTGTGGGGGTGGAGCAGCCTGAAGTCCTACCGTCTTCCCCCGAACACAACGCACCCTCATTATGACTGTATAGAGGCTAGGTTTACGGTCCGATGCACTCAAAATGAGGGTGCGTTGTGTTCGGGGGAAGACGGTAGTAGTCACTCCGTGTTGTTCCGCCCGGCCCGGCGTTGGAGTAGGGCAACACTTCGCCGCCGCCGCCGCCGCCACCGCAGTGAATGAAAGTTGCTTGGGAGGCGGGTTCACCAACAAGGTTCACCGCGGTAACTCGCACTGTTGGCATGGCATGGAACCTGCGATCCCTGGACAGCTTCTCCTTGGTTTCTGCGGTGGTGCAGCATGAATAAAATATTAACTGGAGTAATAAACGTCCCCTTTACCTCACTTCGCTGGCCTAAATCCCGAAGAGGATCCCTGTGGTCCCGCTTTTGATGATGCATCAATGCTTTCATTCAGAGCACAGGAAGGCCCAGGGGTATTCAAAGACTGTGTGTGCGTGTGTGTGTGTGTGTGTGTGTGTGTGTGTGTGTGTGTGTGTGTGTGTGTGTATGCGTGTGTGTGTGTGTGTGTGTTTCATATTGTCACCCAGATGAGTAGATCCAAAATAGAAACATTTGCAATTTTGCACCTTACAATCTTCGGTCAAGTTACTGCATGGGTCCTGGAGACCATCTCACGCAAGTGTGTACATGCCATGCATCGTTCTCCCACACACAACGAACAGTAGTCTGATAATAGGTAGAGAAGATGAGAACCGAGTTTCACAGCTTATATTATCAAAAATATGGATACAAAGTGTTTCAAAGTTTCCCTGAGTCCAGCGCTCATCAGCGCAACACCAATATCTTGCCAACTCATCAATATGCCTTCCAGTGAATCAGTGCTACCCCTGCAGATAGTCTCCAAGTCATCAATGTGGTCACCACTCATCAATGCCACCTCTGCAGATCACATCCAACTCAGGTAAGTATCTTCCATAGCCAACCTTGAATGAACACTCTCAGCCTCAATCCCTTCCTTTTATGATGCATATACACTCTTCAATACTCATGAGGATCTACTCTGGATACTACTCATAGCTACATACTAACCCTCTACTTCTAATGCCAACTCGCTGGGCAGCTATGGCTGCATCACTTCCAGCATACAGGCATCTTCCTTCCTCCAGCGCATCTTCTCCTCCAGCGCTGCTCCTCCTGACTCAGCGCACAAGTGCACCAGCACTTCCACGCATTGGCAGCCAGTGGAGATCT